AGTGGTCAACACCTCCCAGTCACGATGCAGCAGAGGTGCCATGCTCGTTCCTCACGCCGAGGTCTTTTAGGGGCGAAGCTCCTTAGGGCGTGGGCTGTGCGTCCCCTGTAGCCTGTATGTAGCCACCTCTAGTTTAGTTCTTGCAGTGTTCACTAGATGGCGGTACCGTCCCCTGTATGTAGCTACCTCTAGTTTAGTTCTTGCAGTGTTCACTAGATGGCGGTACCGTCTCCTACATGTAGCCACCTCTCGTTTAGTTCTTGTAGTGTTTACTAGATGGTGGTACTTGTAACTGATGATGAAAAGATGCAAGATGTTATAAACTAGAAAGCGGTACTTGTAGTTGATGAAAGACGCGAGATCTTATAAAATAGGAATGATGTCACATATGGCGCGTGTCATTGGTTGAAGGCAATCGTTCGATTTAGTGCGGCGACGTACGCTAAGGGGAGCGTTGTAATAAAATCCGTTCGCTGTTGGCGCGCGCTCGGAGTCGCCGGATGGATAAGGCTGCACAGCGGAGAGAGCGCAAGGCGGCAGCAGCGCGCGCTCGCAGACAGAATCCCGATGTGCGAGCGCGCGAGGCAAGGGACATCGCAAGCCATCCATCGTCTAAGAACAAATAAAAGTTGATTTGTGTATATACACACACAGCGTTCCTCACGTCTTTACATGATGATCGACTGGGCGAATTACATTCACAGTTTACCGATGAATCCCTCCGGAGCTTCGCCCATTCATCATCATGCACCCCGTGAATATGCCGTAATTTTTTTCTCGATTCTTTTTCTTTCTTGCGTATATATATATATATATATATATATATATATATATCTACAGTCAGGGACGGCAACGCCAGCGGCAAAATCCAGGCGGAAGTGTCCATATAATTGCTATTGCAATAATAAGCCAACTCTCAAGTGATAGCGTCCCAAGCCATGTGACAGAAAATATTCACATGCTCAACCAACGCCTCCTAGAAAAACTATGCCTAGAACGTCGCTCTCTCTCAATTGGGAGCCTCTTGCCAGCACGCTTTCTCGAAGGCCATGCCTTCTGCCTTGTGTTGCGACCGGCCGCCGCGTGAGACCGCTCGCCTCCGTACCGCTAAGTCACGTGACAGAACCGTACCGCTCTATCACGTGACATCACGGCTGCTCGGAGGCAACTGTGAGAGCATTGCTATGTTCGCAGAGGGCGGCCGTAGGAGACGCTAGTCTTCACCCCGAAGGAGGAGGGTAAAATCAGAGGGCAGGGCAGCGCGTTCGCTGCTCACGTTCCAATAATAATTTTTTTAAGAGGCGTTGGCTCAACTTACCCCAGCAAAATGGCGATTTTAAGTGCATTCTTTTAAATACGCGTCTGTCAATCTGCACAAAAACATCGGGCAGCTTCACGGAAGCTTTATCCGCGAGGCAGAAACCATATGATCCAAGATGAAAGATTACACTCTGGTCAGATGCAGACGGGAGCGTGAGAACGTCCCCTAGCTGTATGTAAACGCCCTTCTCCGTTTCAAGAACTAAGAGACACAACGCTTGCGAGGAAGTGTACTCTTCAACCTGAGGCACTACTGAAAATACAGCAGCTTCGTTTCCACTGAAGGATTGATTGATTGATATGTGGGGTTTAACGTCCCAAAACCACTATATGATTATGAGAGACGCCGTAGTGGAGGGCTCCGGAAATTTAGACCACCTGGGGTTCTTTAACGTGCACCCAAATCTGAGCACACGGGCTGTTTCCACTGAAGGAGCTGGGCTCTTGAAATTTAGCAGCTCCTATAAGTAACTTTCTGCACTTTTATCTTCACCTTGCACATCTCGTCATCTTGCTTATCCATGTCAGTGTAAACTGGCAGCAGCGTCTCCGACTGCATACATAGTGCTTTGACGAGTGCCTCAGTACTATTGAAGCTGTTGCACATGACACTAAAATTAGCAATTTTCGGGCTGCGAATTCACTCGCCGGCAAAAAAAAATCACAGCATATCAGTGGAGTGAATGACGATGAGGGGGGCGAAGTTTCGAAGGGTTTTATCGGCAAACCGGGAATCATACGCGTCCCTCCGTCCGTGCGTCCGTCCGTCCATTTCCCTGTCTGTCCGTTCGTTCGTCCATCGGTCTGTCTGTATGTATGTCCATCTGTCCGTCCGTCTGTATGTTTGTCTGTCCGTCCATCTTGTGAACACTCCAAGTACCGCCATTTCGCATCTTTCCATCATATATATTCATCATATACAAGTACTGCCATCCAGCGGACATTCCAAAGAATAAAACGAGAGGTGGCTACTACATACAGGAGAAGCACGACCCACGCCTTAAGGAGTGTCGCCCCTAAAAAGGACAAGCGGGCCCTTCGTCACCGTTCATAAAAACCTAATGATATCATAATACACAGATTATTACATTACATTCGAAAAATTCTGCAGTGTCTGCCACAAACAACAGTAGCATGAACCCGCCGCTCCTGTCGCAGAGCGAAAATCGCGGAGCATTTCGAGTTCATGTGAAACGAAACCACCATTATCCGAGATTGCGAACAGAGCGAATGGAGCGAACGGAACACTTTTTTTTGCTGCAATCGCGCATCTGGAACAGTCTTCAGGCTGCTCAGTCGAACAATTCGCGTTTGCCCCAAGCCGAGCAAAACCTTTCTCCACGAGCGAGTCACCCTGGTTTTCGGTCATCCATTTTATCTCTGACTGGCGATGGACGCTGTTTTCTCACCATCTAGCTCAGCGGCGCGTTCAATGTTTCTCGTGATAGGTCTATCGTGAATTCCTACACCATCTTAACTCTGGCCACTGTCACAATTACCCCGTTTCGCCAGCACTAACTGAAGCTCAAGCCTCAATCGTTCTAATACACCACAAAGTCTCTCGTGATCGACGCTGGAATTCTTAATCACCTGTGTCAGGCCAGGCTTCCTATGTATCGCAGCTACGTCAATACCCCGCTTTTCACAACTTGTTCAAATCCATGGTCACCCAGTGCAGACTTTCGTGGCTCTAACTGCTCTGGAGGTACCTCTAATAAACAGTGCCTTCACAAATCAGCAACCTATCAACCCATTTGGATAGACGTCACCATCTATCCAAAACAGCTGGTAGCATTTCTACGGAAGATGAGCACTCACTAACATCGGTACTAACACCACCGAATCCATCCGAACCCCGCCGCTGCCAACCAGTGGTGACCGACGAGCGGGCACAGGCGTTCATCCTGGCGCCCTGGCAGGAGGAACTCATGCTGACAAAAACACACAATTCATATACATATTTACACGGCTCAAGCACACTAGGCGTCGAGACGCGCCTTTACACGAGGCACGACCAGCCGTAACGAAAGCCAGAGAAGAGCCTGCAGCATAGATGAAGAAAGAAGAGCGGACACTCCCATAGACACCGGCGGCCTAATCGAGCCTAGCGCACTTGGTGGTTGGTGAGGGAAACTGACCTGAGTTTCCTCTCTCGGTTTTACTGGTGCAAATCTTGCATTACTGTGCGCAAATGATGTTTGACTATGGCGAAAGTCATGATTTCAGAGCACTTTTTTTAGCCCAAATGCAAGGCTACTGTTTCCCGTTTTGATTTCGTGATTCTCTATTTTGTCTAGCTCAAAATGCTTCCTGTGAATTGGAGTAACGACGTATTCTTTATTTCAACATAGTTATAATATGAAGAGATGCAGGTAATCACGTCCTTGGCAGCTGGATGCCACTGGTGTCGCAGGTGTTTTTGTAGCGCGTTTCCACTGCCTCCATCTGCGGCGGATGACATAGAACACTTGGAAGCATTGCTTGCAATCCTTGTCCGCTCGGGCGAGCACTCGTGGTCTTCCCTAGAAGACTCGGTGCCGCCTCTCCTGGAAATCGTGTACTTCTGGGCCAGGCACACGTCGGTGCGGTGACCCAGCCTGCCACAGACGTGGTAAATGTCCGTGTGGCGTCTGTATAGCGTACAGCGAAGCAATCGGGCGCCGCACGTGACATAACTCGGCACTTTGAGTCCATCGAAGAGAACAATGGTCATAGTAGTGTCCTCGATGCGTTCCACTTCGAGGACTTTCGGGTTCCTCGGCTGGACGATCATTTCGCGCAGCTGGTTGTGGTCAAAGTCAAGCTCGACGCCCCGTTGTGTCAAACGTGCCCCGACGCTGACTATATGCTGGCTTTGCGACTCTCGCTTCGAAAAAGTCGTCGTCCAACCGAATTCTAGGCACTCTTCATGGGTGATGTGCTCCCCCTCGACCATCATTTGCATGAACATACTTGGGAGTAGCGAGCGCACGGTGGCGTTCGAGAGCTAAGCCTCAAGAAGCCAAATAACCATGCCTCAGCGTCACATTGAAAAGTCCCAAAAAATGGTGAAAACAGCGTTCAATGATGAAAAAAACTCGCAGAAGATGAGACGCGTTTCTGATCAAAAACATTTACAGGAGCGGGAGCCGATGTTCGCGCGTTCGCCCTAGTCGGCGCGTAGATGCGGTGTATGGCAGCCGCAGTGGGGCTTAACAAAAATATCCACGTAAGGTGTGTTGAATACATTGTATTTATGTATAAAATGCCAAATATGGGCGTATAGTTATTATTGTTCAAAAAAGCATCCAAATGATGATATTTTTTGTTTTTTGTACTTGCGTCCTCTGGCATTTGGTAAAAGCAATAGTTTGTTGCATAGCCGTGACGTACTTCCTGAGGCCAGATTTCACGAAGTGTCCACCTTTAACTTTTTTTCTTTCTCTATGAGCCCAGTGCACACGCGACGCTCCTTTTCGATTTCTCGGCCTATGCACGCGCTTCTTGTCAAACGCCGACTGCGTGTCTCAGCGACACCGATGCGCGTGCCCTGCAGTGCACGTGGACGCCTCTTGCATTTCTGTTAGACGTGGACCACGTTTGAATGGTTCACTGATTAGCGTCTCCTCCAGCCCAGATCTGTGCATCGCCAGTCGTAAGAGCAACACTTGAGGTCAGAGCACACTTCTACGTGCAGCATCATGCCGAGAAGATCTGTTCCTGAGAGCCCCTGGCTTAATGGAATGCCACCATTTGTTTTCTGCCAGCAGCAGTTCCATCCACTGGTGAGTTATGGCCCCATGTGTGCACCGCAGAATAACCATCTCTTAATGGGCGGCGGCATGGCTCCCGATATGACGCGGTTCGGAGGCAACATTTCCTCTCGTTCCAACTATGGGCGCAGCTATGATCGGCAGGACCGCTACCGGCCACGTCGGGGTTACAATGACCGTTATGGATATCGCCAAGGTGGATACGGTTATAGGGACCGCAAGCGCCAGGTTCCCAGCGGAGAGCGGTCTCGATCTCCTGCAGCAAAGAGAGAGACGCCACAGCATGACGGCACACGAAAGGTTCAAGATCAGCCGAGTGAGCAAGGAGAAGCTGCTGCAGCGGAAGATGAAGTAGGGGAGGTCTCTGGCGTACAAGCTGACGACCTCTATGATCCTGCAGAGCCAACCACGGAGGACACTGTAGAGGAAACTGAAGCAGCTGATGGACAAGAGGATCACGACACTGGTGAAGGTGCTGAAGAAGATGCTAATGAGGCTGGTGATCAAGAACGTGAGGGTTCTGTACACCAGAAGGAAGCAGCGGTAAGGGGAGAACGTGCTTCAACATCAACTGGCATACCTGCCAGTAAAGCACCTGCCGAAACCAGAGCCCAAGGTATCAGGATCGAAGCCTTCCGACGCCAGACGTCCTACCAGAGTAGATGAAGCAAAAGGACAAGCAGGAGGCCAGATGGCTGAAAAAGGTCTGCAAAAGCAAGTGTTTAGGAAGGGCAGCCAGAAGGGTAAAGGCTGGTGCACAGTATGCGAGATCCACTTCGATGACAGCTATCTTGACCACAGGAGGACTGAAGATCACAAGATGAAGCGGAATGAGAAGTATCCGAAGTGCCACCCCTGTAGCATGGCCTTTCATAATCGTAAACAGTATGAACACCACTGTGGGAGCGACTTTCACTGCAAGAATGTAGAAGTAATTGATAATGAAGTGGATGAGTCAGCTGGTCCTTTGGGCGAAGAATACCTGCAAGAAGTTCCTGCTTATTATTGTACATTGTGCAAGCTGCTTATGAAGATAGAACTGAAATCTCATCATTGCTGCACCCTAGGTCACTACAGGAGATACAGGAATACCAAACGCAAAGAAGAAACTGCTAAGAAAGCTAAGCCTTCAATGAAAGAAAGAGAAGATGAGGAGGATGACACAAATCAAGTAGGCAGCGATGATGAAACCAGGGCAGCCTCAGAATGGTGCAGACCTTCATGGAGTGTCTAACGAACCGAAGGAAGAAAATCTAGCTTAAGTAACTGATCAGGCAGGTGCAAGAGGCCTCGGAAGGAGCAACGCAGGGTTGACCATGACATGATAAAGTGTGAAGCGGAGCAGCCAGTCTGAGCCAGTGAACGAAGAAGGTTCACAATTCAAATGAGCAGGATGAACATAAGGACGAGCGCCAGGACTGAAGAACAAGACACCCTAAAGCATGAGGCAGTTACGGCAGCTGCGTCAGGCTTGGATGAACAAAACAAAGCAATGTTTCTGAACATTCTTAACCACCCTAAAGATGATGCTTAAACATTAGCTAAATAAAGATGTTTTTCTCTCTCTGTCTCTCTCTTTCTCTCCCAACACAAATGGCTGCGAGCACCTAGTGAAAGCAGTAGGTGAGAAAAAAAGTAACAGCATATCCACGGAGTGTATTATGAGTGGGTCAAAGCGGCCACCCATTCATCCGTACGTGTGTCCGTCCGTCCGTGCATGCATCCAATCATGTTCGAGAATGCAGACGGCGCGCGGGTAACACCGACGAGACGTGAGCCAACGAAACCGAGCTCAAGCATCTTCAACGCGGCCGCCATTCTCCTTCGTCCATGCCCCACCAGCGATCCGCCACGTTCGGCTACTATCCAGGAGACTGAGAGAGGCACTCGTTTCGTTTTCTATGTGCCCAGGCACAGCCCGCGCAGCAGCCAATCAGAGAGTAGCGTTAGAGCACCATTTAGAATGTTTTCACTTAACTGCAGTTTGTATGCACTACTATAAGACAGCGCTATCTATCTGTTTGGGAGATACTGCCTTCTTTTTTTCTCGCCTCTTCTTCTCTCGGTTACGCGTGACACACAAGGTTATAAGAGGAGCTTCACCCCTAAAAGCCCGTGGTAGCTACTCTTGTCTCAAAGGCTTCACTAGTCAAAGCAACTGTCAAGAATGTAGCGTTGCCTAAGGCTGCTGTCACTGTAGCCGAGCCCGCAACGACTGCCATGGAAATATTTGCCGTCAAGACAGGCACTGCTGTGAGATTGGCTGCTCCAACTTCTGGTCTTGCTGCCTACAAGAAGCCGCCACATGTGGGTGGCCAAGTGGCGGCGGGCGCGGGTGGCATGGGGAGTAGTAGTCACTGGGGGGTATCCCCTGATGATGATCATGATGATGACCCACTCAAGGGGATTGGCGAAGAGTCGGGCGTATCATACAGGCTGGATTTATTGTTTCTATTAGGGGCGAAGCTCCTTATAGCGGCACCATTTCGTCCCTCGTAGTCGTAGTCGTAGTCGTAGTGTGTAACCACCAGTCTTACATTTTGACCTGCAATGTGGTGCCGGTGGGAGATTTCTCCTGTGTGTTGTTCAACAAAAAAAATCGTAGCGTGCACGTTAACTAAAAGCCTAATACTTCTGTTTCTCATTCCCCATTAGCAGCCATTGGCATGTACATTAGGCACTATCTAACAAGAAGGGGTTGCTACGTTATACTCACTGGGCGTAACCTCCTTGGTTTCAGAAAGGTTTAGCGAGCGTTGAGCCGCAGTGCCATGAATACAGTAAAGTAGTATATGCCATGAACTCAAGGTGGTTAAAGGTGGGAAGTAAACACGAACCGCAAGCCGTAAGAAAGTGTGCTTGTGCCACCTCTCGTTTAGTCCTTGGAATGTCCGCTGGATGGTGGTGCTTCTTTATTGGGAATATATGATGAAAAGATGCGAGATGGGGGTAGTTGGAGTGTTGAATAGATGGACGAACGGACACTCAGACAGATGCATGGACGGACTCGCGGATGGCTACACCGACGGATGGACGTATGGACGAACGCAGGGCGGATGCATGGGCGAACGCAGGGACGGATGCACAGGTGGACGTGCGGACGCACGAGCAGACGCACGCACGCACGGACGAATGGACGCACGGACGGTCACACAGACGGACGCATGGACGGACGGAAGTAAGAACGAATGAACGGACGGATGCTTCACCACACTCTCCATTATTCACTCCGTGGATATGCTGCCATTTTCTTTATTTTAGAACGGCTATAGAGATTAGACAGACAGCCAGACAAAGAACTTTATTGGGTCCTGAGAAACGCTGCTCCTTTAAAGCAACGTCGTGGGCCACTCCCTCGTAGGAACGGGGAGGCCTAGCCTCACCGCCACGTCGTGGGCTCTCTGGACAGCCCTTAGTTGTTTAGAGATGTAATTCTAATGAAACGCTAAATATAAAGGGTTCTACTTGTAGCTTACATTATAGTGAGTAACCTCCCAATGAACAAAGATACCTTTACAAGCAAGACATAATGAAGAATAATTAGCGGTTTATTCAACTAGTAAATCTCTTGAGTTACATATAAACTTATCAACAGCATTCAAAATATTCATGTCCGAGTGTCCTAGCACAGATGCCCCTAATGATAATAGGATTGTCCACGTAACTTGTAGACAGAGTCGTCGCAATATAATTTTATTTTCGTTCTCTGTGAGAGGAAAAAAAACGTTGCATTTTGTTTGTTTGTTTGTTTGAAATTATGGCTCATACCCCCTCAGGAGGATTGGCCATGAAGGCGTAAAGTACTTTCTCTCGTGCAGACAGCTATGTGTAAAAACGACTTTATATTAAAATATAACTAATATGAAGTTCGAACAAAAGCAGTTTGCCTTCAGCCATTTTATTTACATTCCTGCTGGCCACTTCTACCTCTCCCCCCTCCTCTTCTTTTTCGCCTTCTCCAACCGATTCTCTTGGATTCATAGAGTAAAATAGAATAATACCTAGAGAGAAATGTGGCGCTGCGATTATGTACCCTCATGGGAAATATGGGAAGTACAGGCTTCGGATTGGATCGCGTTAGCCAGTGAACTGTCTACGGATCTTTCTCTGCAGTTTCAGTTTCGTTATTCACGTAGAGTAGGTAGTAGGGTGAATGCAAAGGACTTAAGCTGCGCCTTTGATGTTCAAAGAAGCTGAAAAACTGCTAGGCCTCTCAATTTACTGCAACGCTTCAGCTGTATAAGTCGTGTTTGACAGTTTAAGCGAATCGTCGTCCACTCACCGCTGCGCATATGTATACCGTCCCATGACAGTGCAGGGTATTACTCGGAGAACGCGTTTGTTGTTAGCGCGTCTTGCCCAAACTCGTTGAAATCAACTGCAAAACGACGGCGACGTGAAGTAGACGCACCGCCATGCTCGTCTGACTCGACTTCACAAGAAAATGAGAAGTGTGTTGGGGGCAGACCACTTGAACAGACGCACCTGGCTTCGCAGCAGACAAAACTTTAAGTGTTCCTCGCTTAATATTGTTCTGTTATTTTTATAAATAGATATTACGTACTTTCGAGGGCAAACCAAGAACGTTTGTTTTCAAATAATGTAAAGAATAATTGATTACATCTTGAAACCAAATCTGGAACGCAGCAGTAGAGCAATGCATACCCTGGTGGTTAAATTTGTCGATGTTTCACTTCTACCGCCTAGTCACAAGAACCACTTCCAATAAAGTTTGCGTAGAAAAAAAATGAAGCAAGTTTCAATTTGATATAACTTCATATTACTTTGTTTAACACTAAAAAAAAGCGTCGTGAATCTCAAAAACGTGATCCATCCGAAGCAGATCCGAAGCCTGTACTTCCCATTATTCCCATGCTGGTACAAGCGCCGCTGAAGGAGCCGGCGTAGAGACTAGCGCCCGATTCCACTGTAGGTATTATTGCATGAAACTCCATGTTTGGATCACTATACCCTCCCGGGCTTTTTTTTAATCTCTCTGGAGATAGTACGGAAGTATATTTGAGAGAGACGCTGGGTTGATCTTGCCGCAAGGTCCTTAGTAATAATCTGTTTTCAGTATGCCTTGCTGTATTGCTATCTTTGTGACGAAGTAGGGACCCATGAACGGTGATTTTGAGTCGAGACCCTTGCGTACAAGAACCATGCTTCCAGTTTGCACGCTTGTCAAAGTTTCTCTTCATTGTTTGGCAATATCATTGTTGCTGTTCTTCCGCCAAAGGTTTTTCTTTGAGGAAGATCTTGTCAACAAACCCAAGCTGTTGATCAGTGGTCAATCAGCTTGTTTTTTCGAAAGCGGCAAAGTTGGTGCTGCATCCAAGTCCTGCAGTACAGGAGCGATTGTGATGTGCTACAGGAGCCTCCAGCGCACATTTCCACCCTACTATAAAGTCCGGGTTTAAAGCCAAAAACATTTCCAGGTCTCTGATATCCCTCTCTGCAAGGGAATGAGCTTCAGGGTGGTATGATGCTGGGAAACGTAATCTAATGCCTTGTTCTTCTGCCTATCATCGAAGTTTAAGACTTCGAAAAGCTGGACCATTGTCAGCCACTATAACTTTGGCATCCTCGAACATATTACGCTCGAGTATCAATACAACCGAATTAGCATCTTCACGGCCAGCCTTAGCAGCAACATAGCGGGTGCGTTCGCCCACGGCGACCAAAAATGCTTGTGTTTTTCGTACGCCCTCGCCTTTTTTCTTGACTTCCACAAAGTCGATATGGAGTACTTCAAAGGGTACCTCAGAGTATAATGGCATTACCATTTGATTTCCTCGTATACTAAACTTTGAAGACCTGACATTCGTGGCAAGTCTTTATGTAGTTAGCGACATCCGCTTTCATGTACGTACTCCAAAATCCATCATGTCCTCCAGATTCTGGACTATTATGGTACAGTCTCAGGATAGCTTGCACCTCTGTCGCAGGCACTTGTACTTTTCCGTCCTTAAATGTCGATTTTCCAGTTCCTTCCCACAGCCTTATGAAATTCACGTGTTCAGTTTCAGTTTCTTGAGGTATGTGCAATCCGGACAAGGCATCAGCATCCAGGTCATTTTGTCCAGGCCGATGAGCTACATCGAAGGATTACTGTTGGACCTCGCTTGTCCATGGTGCGAATCTCCCCTTTGGGAGTGCGAGATATGCCTTCCAAGTATGCCCTGAAATATCTCAAGGCCGTGAAAACTGCTAGCGCTTCTGCTTTTTGTGTGTGTGGGGCAGTAACAAACCTGGGCCTTAGTACGCATGTACGGGAAATAGCCGATTACTGGCAGTTGTCGGGACGCAGGCTTCTTGACATCTTTGGCACAGAACAGCTCTAGTTCCATAGTGTGAAGCGTCTGCATAGAGCTTAGAATCCGTATGTATAGAGCTCGTCTGTATAGAGCTCGAAATAAATTAAATGA